CAAATGGGGGCCCTGCTCCGCTATGGCACAAGGGCAGGAGTTTGGGGAGTCAAGCTGTGGCTTTCACTTGCTGGGGTGAAGGTGGGAAGCTTAACGGTCCCACCCTGATGCCTGCCCTTAAGAGCTTGTAAGTGATTCTATCAGGTGTTCTGGTCCTAAGCCACAGGAGAAGGAACAGCAGAGCCACCCATGCCTGCTTATAAGTCTGCCTACCGTATTGCAAACGTCCAGTAACAAAATCTCCCACCGGTGTTCTATTTCAGCACAATCTCACATCTCTCCCTCCAACAACTGCGTGAGGCACACGGTAGTGGCCCTATTTTGCAGAGGAGGAAACTGAGGCTCAGAGAGGGGGAGATCTGTGCCGGGAAGTAGAGGATGCTGGCCTCTTTCTCAAAGCAAACATGGGGGACGATCCCAGCAATATGCTCACCTGCAGGCCTGAGTTTGTGGTGAGGTCGGAGGGTTGGTCATTGACAGGCAGGATGGTGACAGTGAAGGCCACAGGATGGCACTCGCGGTCCATCTCAGAGGCACTAGCCATCAGGACAAAACTATTTGCCGGTCTCTCGCTCCTGTCATGCACGTACTGGATCAGCTGCTCTTCCTCCTAGGGGCAGGCCTAGGGCTAGCAAGCCCCAGCAGCACCCTTCATGCCCTGCCTTTGGGTGCAGGAGGAGACTGACTCTTTTAGGGCTTCAGCTTCCATTGGTGGAAAATGGGGATCATAAGTTCTGGCTCCCAGAGGAGTTGTGAGGAATAAAGGAGATATAGTATTTATTTTATTTTGTTTTATTTTATTTTTGAGACAGAGTCTCACTGTGTTGCCTAGGCTGGAGTGCAGTGGTGGGATCTCGGCTCACTGCAACCTCTGCCTCCCACGTTCAAGCAATTCTCCTGCCTCAGCCTCCTGAGTAGCTGGAACTACAGGTACCTGCCACCACACCAAGCTAATTTTTTGTATTTTTAGTAGGGAGAGGGTTTCACCATGTTAGCCAGGATGGTCTTGATCTCCCAACCTCATGATCCGCCTGCCTCGGCCTCCCAAAGTGCTGGGATTACAGGCATGAGCCACCATGCCCAGTCCGAGATGCAGTATTTAAAGCATAGGTGCTTCTGAAATGTGATTCCCCATCTCCTCTCTGTGTATAACCCCCCCACTGGGAGTCCCCGGGGCTCCCTCAACTTTGCCCCCAGAGCTGGGCTGCAGCCCCTGGGCCTCTCTCAAAGCCGTACCTCTCTCCAGCAGAAGGTGCTTAGGGTCCTGGCTTGAGGCCCGTTCTCTTTCTGCAGGGCCCTATGCCAGGGTGGCTCCAGCACCTGCAGGCCAAGGCCCAGCAGAGTGAGGAAGTAGGGCCTGCAGGCCAAGGCCCGGCAGAGTGAGGAAGTAGGGCCTGGCGACGTGGAGCAGTGGAGGGGCCAGGGTACGGCTGCTACCCTCGGGGATGCTGAAGTTTTGTGCCCCCAGTGCGGATGACAGCAGGCAGCACCTCCAGCTCCACACGACGTCCTCAAGGGAAGCACCCAGGCCAAGGCCACATCCAGCAAGAAGGCATTGCTCCAGGCATCAGGGCGGGAGTCCAGGTACAGGATCCTGCCTGTGTCCACCGCCTCTTGGGAGAAGCTCTGCATGGGGTCCAGGCTGGGTGGCTCATCTGCCAAGACACCACGCGAAACCATCACCAGGTAGCCAGCACTCAGCGGGCTCTTCGCTGAGAAAACCATGTCTGCCGGCAGACATTAGAACAAGCTGCTTTGCATTTTGGTGTGATTGGAACCCGTAACTAGATGGCAATCAGGTCTGTTACTGAAGATAGAAAAACTATACTTAAGTTTGTATAACAATCTTTCATAACATGGCTTCACAGAAAAGAAGTACAAAAAGGATTCCTTGAGGTTGAAAAATAGTGCTCTTTTCCCTTCATTAACTAAGATTAGGACAAATTTATAAAACAGGAAAAAAACCCAGCACAAACCCCTTGGCAAACAGAGTAAAACATCTAGTCTGTTTTGCTTTTTTTCCCTTCTTACACTCTCTTTCATAGAAAGTCAATTTACAGACTTCCATCAAGCCCTTAGAGACCTTTTGGTACTATCTATGACACGCTCTTGATGTTATCTCTGCACTTTTGACAAATTCTTAGCAGTTAACTTACAAGGCAGTTAAGATTTTTGTTCAAGAACAATATAACTAGAATAGGGTCATATACTCAATAAAACAAATATTTACCAAGCATTTATTGAGTGGAAGATTAAAAGCACAAAGCATAATTATAAAAGATTCTCCCCTGCCACCATAAAAAAATTAAACAGGCTTACAGAATACAGAAAACATGACCAAAGCAAAAACAGTAA